TAAGAAGCCAAGAGGTGCAAAGTAATGACCTCCCAAAGTCCATACAGGATGTTTTCAGCTGAGAAAAACCACGCACATACACCCCACAAGACAGCTTCCAGCTAACAAACATCACTTGCCTTTTCACAGGAGCTGTTTACCACCGGGATATACCAAAAACATTTCCACATACCACACTTGGGATCAAATCAAAAACATGTTTATATCTACTACAGGAGAGCCTGATAGAACCATGATGTATACCACACATCTGCGTTATCACGTTTTCCAAATCTCCATACTGAACCTTCCTGAGAGCACATTTTCTCCATCCCCCCAAACATTAGCTATTAACTGTTCTTTTCTCAGAGCTTCATGCAAGCGTTATTCTAGGTCTTTTTTCCTTTCCTTAATCTGTTTAGCAACATGTTAAGTATTATTGTTGAAACCATTTTTAATGGATAAATAAAGGCACAAAAAATATTTTTCAACACCCCAGCAGAGCCTGGGTTGCAACTAGGCAGAGTAACTTCCTGCGTATGCTCTTAGAAACTATACTCTATGATGACTGTGTAACTATCTTTAATTTTCTTCTGAATCTCAAGTGTCCTGATAAGCCAAATGTTAACATGTTGGTCCTCAGCCCTTGTAATAAAACCTGTTAATGGCAGAGTTTAATGGGAGCCTCGAGGTGTTAAGATAAGGAGTGTGCCCTTGCAGGAGACTGGAACTTTGGCACTCTGTTTCTCTGTTTCTGTCTCTTTGTCTACCCCCACCTCTGGTGGTATGTGATTTGGCCCCCCACCACATAGGACTGGAATGAAACATTGTCTGACCACAAACCCAAAGCAGTGAGGACAGTAGTTTAGGACTGAAACCTGGAACCTAGTCATCAAATCAAAGTGATTTGAAGCTAAGAAGCCAAGAGGTGCAAAGTAATGACCTCCCAAAGTCCATACAGGATGTTTTCAGCTGAGAAAAACCACGCACATACACCCCACAAGACAGCTTCCAGCTAACAAACATCACTTGCCTTTTCACAGGAGTGTTTACCACCGGTTTTCTTCATGTATCAAAATGGTCTCTTCCTGTAATCACATGAAAAAGCTGGGACACAATAAACTCTCACTTACTGGTTTTCAGCCCCTTCACTGACCTGTCATCTTCAAGTCACCGAATTTACGTGCAAACCTTAGCACCCTTCTCTTGTCCTGAACCCCCTCATCATCATGCTATACCTGTTCTTATCCTAGTATGCTAAATGTTCACATTGCACAGCCAATTGATACCTAAATGTGACTGGTTTCTGCATAACTAAGATGTAAGTTCCTGCTTTAGCCTCCACATGCACCCAGATTCTTAAAATGAGTTTTCCCCAAACCACAAGTATCCTGTCTTTTTTTTTTTTTTCACTTCCAGATGAAGCAGGAGCCTAGTCTTGAACCTCTGCATTGCCATTCTTTCGCTTGTCTAACCTGAACCATAAGCATCAGCTTAGCCTGTCAGAGCCCTATACCAAGAGGAGACATGAGAAAGGAATTGCATAACTTCCATACCTCAGGCTTTGGGCCAAACATCCATCGGCAGTTCAGGGTAAGCATCAGCTTGAGATTGAAGATATCCAAATAAAAATGCTTGGTGTTATTACTAGCCCAGATAAGATTCAAAGCATTCTCTCACCCTGATGTTGATCATGCTTCTCAGAAGCCAGGCCTAAGCGAGGAGTGTAACACCCATTCCTATCCTACTACATGAAGAAGAGAAGGAATAGAGGAAGAAAGAGGAGGAGGAGAAGAGGAAAGGGAGGAGGAGAAAGAAGAGGAGAATAGGAGGTGGAGGTAATAGTAATGACATGTTTCAGGTAGAAACCATGTTACATATCATATATAATATACCTACTTGAGGACCAAGACATTTCCTCTTTTGTAAAGAAACATATGCTGGCTAATACTGAAGGGATACACAAAATGTAGAAGGCAAATGTGGGACTGCAAAGGTATAATGTATAAGTTAAAGACTTGCCTTCCCTTCCTTCCTCTCCTCCTTTTCCCCCTTCTCCTCTTCTCACCTCCCCCTACTTGTGCTATCAATAGAACCCAGGGCATTGTACTCACTAAACAAGCACCCTGCCACTTAGTTAAAGCCTTGTATTCTGCATTTCCAAGAAGCTTTGTACTGGCCCATAGAACATTCATATCAACTTTTCTGATATGACACTTGCCCTAATTAATCATCCAACAGCATTGCATTTGTCCATTTTTCTTACTTGGTCAAGCATAAAAGAAAAAGAAAGATCACAGCTGTCAGGCCTTCATCTTCTGAGCACTGCTTAAATTTAACATTAAAAGATTCTTACATCATCTTGTGATGGCAATAAACATCTTAATATCCATGTGCACATATTTTTTTCTTATCATAAAATCTGATTTATTTTGCTTCTGTCAGTAAGAAGCTTCCCTCAGTCACCCACACTTATTACCACAAAGGCTAATATCCTTAAAATGACCTGAAGCTCTTCAAGACAGTATTTATCCCTTCTTAATCTTCAAATAAATCACATTTACTCTGGTTTTGTAATCAACTTCACTTTATTCTAGTTCTTAAAACTGTATCTCAAACACAATGTACACAGTTACACTGAATACATTTGACTTCTCAACAATGCAAGTGGCCTGAAAATGAGAAATACTCATTTACCTTTACAATGATTATTATATAAAAAGAGCATCTGTGGGGGAAAAAGGATCCTGACACAGATACATTAATCAGTTCATGTCCTTTCACAATACCCATTGTGAAAACTCCCAGATAAGATGATTCTTTAGTTGCAGTACTGCACAACGGATTTGTGTCATCCACCCATACACATTTTCCCTACAGAATAAGTTCCCAGATGAATTTTTTTTCTTCCAGTTTTCAGTTGTCTCTGGTCAAGTGCTCAAAGGATTATGAGATGTGCATTTTTTTTAACCGTTGACCAGCTTTTCAGTCTTGTAGAGACTCTGTGGACTCACCTTCTCCCCCAGGTTCCTCAAGAGCTGAAAATTCTGTTTCTATAAGTGGTTTCAGAAACTTCTCAACCTTGGTTAATCTTTGCTTGAGTTTCTGCTGCATCGACTCATATTCAGCCAAGATGCGGGCAAATCTTGTTTGCAGGAGGTCAACTGACCCCTCCATTTGAGTGACTTTCTCTTCCAAGTCTTTAGGGTCACTGCCCATGTTTGCAATGTTTAGATCCAGTAGACCATCTTTCATTAAGATCTGCCTCCCTTTCTCCTCCAGCATAGTTTTGGCATCGGGGTACTCTGTAAGAGCTTCCATGAGGTCATCTTTTGACAGGCAGAACAGATCTGAGTAGCCAATGCTTTTAATATTGGCCGTTCGTCGGTTGCCAGCCTTGCTGCCTTTGATGTTAAGAATGCTGATCTCACCAAAGTAGCTGCCATCACTCAGAACAACAAACTGTGTGATTCCATCATCTGCCACCACAGCAAGTTTGCCTTCTTTGATGATGTACATCTCTCGCCCAATGTCCCCTTTCTTGCATATGTAATCTCCAGGACTGTACACCTGGGGCTGTAGCTTCAACACCAATTCCACCAACAGACCAGCCTCACAGTCAGCAAAGATGCGAACCTTTTTTAATGTGTCTAAGTGAACGTTGATGGCAATTTCTGCCCTTAGCTTGTCAGGTAAATATCGCAAGACTTCTTTTTCATCAACTGTTTTTTTGTTGGTCCACAGATAGTCAAACCATTTAATAACTCTCTTCTCCATATCTTTGCTCACATTTCGAAAATTCATGTATTGTTTGATAGCATCGACTCTTGATTGAAATTCTGCCCTGGCTGCATTCATATTGGAAATCATAGAACCTATGTTACCAACGATGGTGGCAAAAATTAAAACTCCAATTAAGAAGTCTACCACCACAAAGACATATTCAGAATCCAGCACAGGAGGTGGAGTTTCACCGATGGTTGTCAAAGTCAGTGTGGACCAATAAAGGCTGTAGACATATTTTCTAGCCAAACGGCCAAATTCAGGATCATTGACATCAGGGTAGACCCATGTGTCATTCCCAAATCCAATAGCTTTTGAGATGGAATAGTATACACAAGCATTCCAGTGGATAATGATAACAATGTACATTACAAGGTTTGAAATCCTAAAGATGTTTGGGTAGTTGGTCCTTGTTTCTGTCCTCTGGAAGAACTCAAACATTCGAGAGATTCTTAACAGCCGGTTTAATCTAATTTCTGGATAGTTCCATCCAAACTTGATATACAGAAGATCAGTCGGTATCACAGAGAGAAGATCAAGTTTAAACTGCAAGTTTGCTTTATACTTTTCTGTGAGTTTCAGTTTGTCTTTCACTAGCAATCCTTGTTCCAGGTAACCTAAAAGAGAAGAGAGAAAAGCCAGTGTTTCTGTCTGTTATATCATGTTTATATTATTTTTTTCCTATAGTAACTCCTAACTTTGTTTAGGTCAAAATAAGAATACTTTTTAATAAATATGTCTTTAGTGATACAGTAACATATAAGATCAAATCTACATGTGGTTACAGAAGAGTCTATTGTACAAATAGAAAAATAAATCTTTTTTAGTGTAAAGGTAATATACAGATAGTTAAATAGGTAGATAGAGTGATTGATTCATTGATGGATAGACAATTTTACCTGAACAGGTAAAATCATGTCTTTGATGAATTGCATTCATATTCTACAGCATTATTAAATGATAAGTTACACATTTTTGTTCCTGTCCTCAATATCACTGGCACATCACTCTTAAAATCCTTATGATTTTCTGAGAAACCAAAGTATCTTTTGTTCTGATATTTGGTCTTGGCCTCAGCTCCTGATGCTGAACTCCAGAGTGCTTTGAATTCCTTGGATGGTAAGGGTGTCTTTGTTCTATGGAGGCAGCTCTTGGTAGGCTCTTAGGTGGGACTGGTCACCACAGGCATTATGTTTAGAAGCTTGGCATTTTCAACCTCCATCCCCACTTCCTCCAGGAGAAGAAGATGGGCTGGCAAGGAACTTAATAGTCTGACACCAATGTATGATATAGCCTTTCATAAAGATCATTGACTTTGGTGATGAGCATCTAAGTGAGAGGGCAAATGTAGAGTGTTAGAAGGATGTCATAACTGAATTCCATGAGGTCAAAGCTCTCAAGGTCTTCCACAGTTGTCTTCTGTATCGCTGCACCTTGCCTGTTCATCCATACCATTTATCGTGTCCTTTATTAATAGAACAAACTACCAAGTATGGGGGATTTGGGGTTCAGTGGGCCATACTAACAAATAACTGATCCTGAAGAGGTATTGTGGGAACCCTAAGGTATGGCTATTTGAGAAGAAACACAAGTTGGGTCATGTCCCTGACATATGAAGTCAGGAAGAGCCTTATGAGACCCAGCCCTTAACCTGCGGGATCTCACTAATTCCAGCTGGCTTCAGAACAGAATAAATTGTAGATGGTGTTATAGATGCTTAATAACTCAGGCTACTCCTTGGCAGAATCCAAGCCCTGCTCTGAGAAGTGTGGGCACCTGTCCTGCTGTCTCACTGTTTTGCATGGCTATGCTTTTCACCTTCAGTGTGAAGCAGAAATATCTCTTCAGACTGTGTTTTCACTCCTTAGTCTTGCCCTCCAAACTGTCCATAATCACCCTTAATCATCTCTTCTGTGCTGTTACTGTGGGCCTTGGATGGTGAGCCCAGAATCCCAGCAGTACAAAGAGAGTTTGTTTCTTCTATAGTGGCTACCAAACCTACAAGGAAGCTCTGGCAACAAAACACTGCATTGACATGTAGAGAGCTTCCTTTTGTGATTTCCCAGAGGCTTCTGTGCTGTGTATAATGATTGCATTTACAATGGGGGAGCAGTGCAGAAACAGTGAGCTTATACCTGCTTACTAAACACACTCCTGGTAAAGACCTGTTGGATGGCATTCCCTACTTACTGATACACCACCATGACCTACAGATGTTTCCTATAAAATCTCTATTAAGGTGCTTTTGGAAAACAATGACACTTTTCTTTGTGACCTTTTAAGGTATTTCCATGTGTAACAACAATTGTTCTTTACTCACAGAGATTTACTAGATATTTCTGTTCTCTCTATTCTCCTGCCTGGCATAAACCCAATGAATAGGTTAATAGAGGAAAACCACCAACACACACTCAAAAGGTTACTTAGGAGACTGGAGAGATGGCTCAGAGAATAAGAGCACTGGCGGCTCTCCCAGAGGACATGGGTTCGGTTCCCAGCACCCACATGGCAGCTCAGAACAGTCTGTAACTCCAAACCTAGAGGATCTGACACCTTCTTCTGGCCTTCTACCCTGGTGCACATGGTACACAGACATAAATACAGGCAAAACACCCATACATAAAATAGAAAAGGTAAAGAAACAAATTAAGGTGTCCTAGCAACATCTTCCTGGATCAGCTGGAAATGCCAATGAGTAGGAACATGTTATCTCTCTGTAGATGTTTTCAACTGAGGTTGTGAGTTTATATTGAAGAACAGTTGTGTTTGGAAATGTCATTATGTGTTAAAGATAAAAGCAAGAAATTTCAGAAAACCCAAAACAGATCATACTTACCTGTTCTTGTTCGTACAAACATATCAGCAAGATAGACTATGTCTGATACATAATCAAAAATGAGCCAAAATCCTAGATAATCAGATTGGAGTTCATCAAAACATGCTCTATAATGAAGAAAAAATACAAAAATTACATGGAAACTAATTGGAATAAAGGCCCCTTTGTATAATGTTTTTCATGATGGCACATACAATATGCTAAGGCCAGAGGAGTCTTTAGAGCACAGAGTTATCACAGTTTCCGCAAACCCTTCTTTGGTGGTTATGATTCATTTTCTCACACTTCTGAATTCTAATATCTGTTCTATCAATACTAGTTGGGTTTGTATAGACATCAGATGAGAATTAACCAGGCAGGGTAGGACGCGTCTTTCATCTCAACACTGGAGAGGCAGAGCAGGAAGACCTCTGAGTTCAAGGCCAGCTTGATCTACAGAGAGAGAGAGAGTTCTAGGACAGTCAGGGCTACACAGGGAAGCTACAACAACAACGAATAAATTTTTTCAGTTGGGAGGATACTTCTGTTGTTAAAGTGCTTGGTGAGGAAGCATGATGATCTGAATTCAGTCTTCAGAATCTTGCAGACAATAACAACATCAACAACACAGCCGCCATGGTGACATATGCTTGTCATTCCTAGCTCTAGAGAAGCAGAGAGGAGCACCCGTCCCCCTCCCCCGCACCACGGCCACCATGTTTCACTGTCAGCCAGCCTAGATAAAACAGTTAGTTCCAGGTCAGTAAGATATTCTATTTCAAATACAAGGTAGATAGCATCCTGAGGACACATAAAGCTGACCTCTGGTCCCCACACATATATGCATACATGTACATGACATACACAGAAAAGAATAAATGGCTTAAAGCTAAAGTCAAATCTCATTGGGTGAAACCCACTGATCACAAAGTTAATATTCCTTATCTATACCCAAAAAGTTTCAGGGAAAATGTTCCTACTCTTGAACAATAAGAAGTTTCTTACAGATACTAACTCTTCATTGTTTTCCACTATGGGCAATTTTTTTTTTCCTGATAGGCCAAGAATTACAGTTTTCTCCCAGTGTCCAAACTTCATAATTAAACAACCTGAAGTTGGAAAGAATGCTTCTTCTACTCTCATTCCCATCCCTTCCCAGGACTGTATGTCCAAGCACACTATAAATAAAAGACATGCTGATATCAGAAAACACACAGAGAATGATTTGGCCACTCTTTCCAACCTGAGGCAGGGAAAAGAGGTTTGCTCTGAAGAGCCCTAGGTCAAAGTATGTTGGCAGTCAACTTCTAAGGGTTTTGATATACACATAGAATATATGTAAACCTTGCAATAATCATCGTCCAGTTGTACATCACAGGCAAAGAGATACAAAACAGCCAGTTGTAGTATGTGTTTCCTGAAGGATCAATGATCACAACTTCTTTCTTCTCCCTAGCAACAATTAGAAATAGAGGAAAGTTATTAAGAAACAAAAATATTGGTATTTACCATACCAAATGAGGCTATATCCACCACCCATGATCATTGCAGTAGATGATGGATACCCTTGACTTAGGAAGATTAGCTCTATGATTATATCCACCATAAGAACCTGGTTAGTTAGTGAGGGGAGAGTAGATAAATCAGCAGTCTTACAATGAACCATCTGGTGGACTTCTGTTAAAGCCCTGTGTTTACTACAACAATGCAGTCAGTTCTATATCCCAAGTATGGAGTGCAAATAATGACCTAAATTGTAGGAAGCTATAGATTTCCCAACAGTTCTTTGTAAACTTAAGGGTGATAGAATGATAACGTTTCCATCAATTCTCTTCCCCTATCTGGAAGCAAAATGACCTGAGCTACAATGGTGAGGGAAGGTTGTGACCCAATCCATAGAGAAAGAAGGGCAATGCAACACAAATTTGTACAGTACTCGCTCGAGTGAAGCAGGGATGAGCTATAAGAGAGGCAGTAGAGGGCATAAAAAAGAAAGGAATGAATCATGTGATCAAATAGCTATTTCAAATGGTCTGGTACCAAGCCTATATTTTAAAAAAAAAGTTTTCTCCTTATACAAGCTTCAACAACTTTCTCAACGGGACACAAATAGTTGAATTGTTGTTTGATGGGTTGTTTTGTATAAATAAATTCAGAGAATAAGTTCTTTTTGAGTAAAATAATTTTGCTTTAAGACTTTACAGATAATGACTTTGTACTAACCCCCATGAAGTTCTAGATTTTAATTGCCTACTTGAAAAGGAGTTTTTCAAGAGCAGCATTTGGAATGCACTTCTGTAGTTGTCAAAAACATTTTGGCTCTGGGGTACTTTCAGACCTCTGTCAGACTGAAGTTGCTACTCCGAAATGTTAATGAGATTATCAAGTTTTTATTTGGCCTTTACAGGCTGATGAGATCCTAGGTACCCAATGATCCTTAACCTGAATATTTAGTGGGAAGTTTTTCTTCATTGATGCTTCTGAAAGAAAATAATTCATACTTGCTAAATTTTATAGAACCTAGAAAAAAAGTTTTCAATTTCATTTGATAGCAGTTTATACAAAATATTTGTTCTTAAGTATTTAAGGACTTTGTCTTTGCCTGGGGCTTTTTGCTATAAAGCTTTTTCTATGCTTTGGGAAATTTTACCTACATCTAAAACCCATTACAAGTTCATGTCTGTTTTCAATGCCAGTAAAAATATTTACTCTTCTTTCTTATCTTTGGTTTTCTCCTCTTTCTTTTTCTTCTCTTTTTCCTTTTCCTTCTTCTTTTTCTTCTCTGGGTCCTTTTTATTTTCATTTTTGTCATTCACCTTGCTGGAAAAGTTGAGTAAGTGTTGTTACCATATGCAAATGACACAGACAGGCAGAAAAACGGATAGAGGAATTGATGCAGTCAGGCTTACCTCTTCTTTTCCTTTTTCTTTTTCTTTTTTTCTTTTGGGTCTCTAAAAAGAAACAGCATCTGTCACATAATCACATTACTTCAACCCCAGCTTCTTTCTGCTTTCCTCTCCACTCAGCAAGCATTCTCAGCCTTGCTTTCAAAGTTCTGCCTCAGTGCTCAGAAACCAAAAGGGAGGGTGGCCAAAATCAAACAGGTATTCAGACAAATAACAAAACATGCTCAGGTTAACAGAAAAGAAAAGTTGAAAAGGACAGAATATATAAATTATGTAAAGAATTTCACTAACTTAAGAAACAGCAGTCTCTGAGTGTATTCCAGAATTCTAATACATAAAGGTAATGGTTTTTTACTTTAAGTTTTTAATACCATTCACGTTTTCTTAAATTAACACATCAAGAATCTCAAAAAAAAATGTCATGAATTCTCTTTCAAGGAAGTGATTTTGATGGGAGCATTGTTTTTAGTTTTTTATTTTTTCATGAGTAGTCAAAAAAAAAAAAACTCTTTGGTCATTCATTCAAGTCATGAGGTCAGACAATAATCCAGAATATGATAAACTAGCATATCTGAGGCACAGATATAAGTAGCAAAGTGACCCACAGGGAACAAGTAAGCTGCTAAGAAGGTGGATTAGCACACCATTTCGCCCCATGTCACTTACCACTGTTTCGTCAGCACCTACACTTCATGGACTATCTATGGCTCTATATGGGATTTCTTTAGGAGCAGCTGTTGGAATTGGGTTGGAAACCCCAAGTAGGCTATTTCTATACCATGAAACCATCTATATGTGGCCTTGAAACACAGTGGTGAGCCTAGGCTTCCCAATGGCGCAGCTTCAAGTACCATGCAGTCACTCACTTTCTATGAAAAAAGATATGGTTAACTTAATAATACATAAAGACTCATGGGCAATCACAAAGGCCTTAAATGGTCGGTTAAGGACCTAGATGGAAAAAGATTGAACAATCGGGCAGATGAGTTCTAGAGAAAAGGCAAACTAATAGACTTATAAGCACAACATTTGAAATCTTTGTATCCCATGTCAGAGAGTAACCAAGCAGACTGAAGGACTCAGCTAGCTGATAAACACAACCTCCATTATGGCATCCTCAGTGCTGGCAGCCTCCATGGCAACAAAAATGAAGGCTATGTTTGGGCCAACACATGGCTTTCTGCTCATAATGGCTGGTGTTGAACATCTAGCCTTCTAGTTATAAATAGAGCATTTGAATCATGTAGGTAGCATTGCTGTTATAACATGACTCCAGTGCCTATCTCTTAAGTACAGTAGTCACTTGATGGCACATTGACTTCATTGCGTCCTCACCAATGAAGAAAGTACACCAAATACTTTTATACTAACTGACTTATATTGTGGTATATGTTGCTTTTTCCACAAACTTGACCAGTATCATTGTTTAGGGTTTTTGAAAAAATGACCCACTAATAAAGCCTACTACACAGCATCACTTTGGGTCGACTTTATAGCAAAAGAAATGTAGCAAAACAATAACTGGCCCAACTTGAGAACTACCCCATGGAGAGAGCCAGCCTCTGTTATTATTAATGATACTCTGCTATGCTTGCAGACAGAAGCCTAGCATAACTCTCTTCTGAGAGGCTTCATCTAGCAGCTGATGGAAACAGATGCAGAGACCCACATCCAAACAATAGGCAGAGCACAGGGAGTTTCACCATGGCTTTCTAAGCCTGCTTTTTTATAGAACCCAAGACCACCAGCCCAGTAATGACACCACCAACAACAGACTGAGCTCTTCCCCAATCAATCACTAATTAAGAAAATGCACTAAAGGCTTGCCTATAGGCCTAGCTTATGGAGGCACTTTTTGTCTCAATTGAGACTTATTTCTTTTCTGTGACTCTAGTGTGTGCCAAGTTGATATAAAACTAGCCAGCACAGATATTGAGTTTGGAATCCAGTGGGCCTATTGTATGCTGCTCCACGCAGAACCTTCTGACATGTTACAGATATGGAGTGAGCTTCAGAAGGCACAATGGAAATGCTGCCTGGGAGTACACTTTCCTTGAAGATGAGTGACTATAATCCAGGATACTGTAAACTTAAGAAAAAGAATGGTCATTAGGTGGTGCTCTATGCCTGCACATGAATAGAATGCACAGGTCTAGGAACAAAGGTATGTAATTAGGGGTACTTTACATAGGGAAAGTATACTTCTCATTTCTGTACAGATGGGTTTTGTGGTTCTAGAGGTCACATTTCATGAAAGGGGTCTATACTTCTGCCAAAGGGCACAGTTACAGTTCCTTTAAACATTAATCTATGACTATTTCTCTGGCCACTTTGGACTTCTCATTCCAAGAAACTAATTGGCAGAGAAGAATCACCAGACTGTAAAGTTTATGATCCTGATCATCAAAAATAAGTAGTGCTGGGGTTGTGCAATGAGCAGATAGAAATTATCTGACAGGTGCATGATCCACCATGGCAGCTGCTCTCAACATGTAGTGCATGACCCCTTTGGGAGTTGAACGTTCCTTTTAAATGGGTCACATATCAGATATCATGCATATCAGATATTTACATTATGATTCATAACTAGCAAACTTACGGTTATGAGGGAGCAATGAAAATTTTATGTTTGATCATTACAACATGAAGAACTGTACTAAAGGGTCACAGCATTAGGAAGGTTGAGAACCACTACATTATGGTATCTGTTGAAATATCCTCAACGCATCTTTGATAGTGAAAATAGACAAGTCTAGCAGCCACATCTTAAGGACAGCATAATGACCAGATAAATGTCTGTATTTTCTAGACTGGAAGAAGTTCTGCACAATCATGAGACCGCTCTAGAATGGACAAAAGTAGATAAGGAGTTTCTGTGTATGCCTCAAAAGTATCTAAAGTGGCCAGGCATCTTTATACATCCCATTCACCTTCCTCTTACAAGCTTCCCTGGGACAAAAGAACATCCAGAAGCCTTAGAGGGAGCAGCAGCAGCATTTTCTCTCTAAAAGAGTGGAGCTGAGCAGGGCACAGGTGGGCTGTAAGGCTACAATTACACGTGGGTTTCCTGAGTTTCAGGCACTCATTCTCCATACACCAACACTTGCTGACAGCACGCTTTCTCCTATCCTTTGAAAGGAATGCTTCAATGAAAATCACCATTTTTAAATTTATCTCGCAGATTCCTAGGGCTGTTCTGACTGTGCGTGACTGCAAAGACCCAGTTCTGTTAGATAAGTATGACACAAATTTGAAAGCATACCCATGCTCCAAAGCTTCAATAAAACCAAATGTCTATTCTTCAAACTTCTCCATCTCCCTCTGCCCAATTCTGCCACCCCTAACTCCCTTCCAGATACCACTCCAAAGGGCACATCCAATAAATATCTGCACAGAGACCGCTATGGCAGAGGCTGCCTCCTGAAGAATGTGGCCCAAGGTCCATTTTTCAGTGTTTCATAACTTAGATTGTCTGGTCTGCCCTAAGGAAGGGCAATTGCATATATAACAAAGACATTTTTTAAAACATGTATTAAGCGAAAGAACAAAATACATGCATGTTGCTTTTAATTGGGGCAGATGCATTTTCCAGATAAAAATTAGCAAACAACAAAATAATAGAATGTCATCTTTATTAAATGAGTTCATGTGCTAAGTATTAGCTATATCTCTAATTTAGATGCTGCTAGTTTTTTACTTGTTTTAATTTTCTTCTGTAGATGTACTTACTGGTCTTTGTTGCTGCTGTTGTTAACATTGAAAAGAGCCATAGTACCTGGCAAATATTGCTCCCTGGAAGAGAAAAAATATATAGTAGGATCACAATGACTGCCATGCTCATGGTAAGCAAACTGCCTTAAAAAACAAATATCTTTATGGTTTTCTACTCACTACATAATATTATCCACATGACTATTTAAAAAATACAGAACTTCTATGAAGCACAGCTTGCCAGAAAACAGTTTATTGATGCAAAGTGGTTACTAAATGCCTATTCGTCAAGGTTCATACCAAAAATTAGCAATATCTTTGGCCTTGAATGAACCAAGATGGTTGACGCTGACTTCCACTGAAAGACCCCAGATAGCCAGTGAAGACAGAAAAAAGAAAGGAAATAGAGTTTTAAAGGACCAAGTGGAAAGCTATAGTTAACCAATAGAAAGAAATTTTAAAAAAGGGGAAATGATAATAAAAAATAAGATACAGTGCATAAGATCAGAACCCGTGATCCCTACCGTGCCTCATTCCTTAATCCTTAAGTGGCTTCGAGGATCTCTATTTGAACATGACTGCTTTATTTTTCCCCATAAATGCTAACCTTTCCTTTTCTAATCCCACACTGTATTTCCTGTGAGTAGGCTCTACCAGATATAGCAGTTTAGAGAATGATAGCCCACCCTCTCATATAGAGTTATCCCAAAGGATACATTTAAAAGAAGCAGGAAATCAAGGGAGTGTGGGCAGCCAAACACACCCAGGACCTTCTCAGAGGCTCTGATGAAAGGACAGAGAGAACTTTAGTTCTATGTCCTTGTCCAGGTTCAGATTTGGCAAGGCCAGTCTAAGACTGGAGCCAGGTCCTCGAAGGAGTCAAGGGTGTGGTTTCTGAGGACCCGACTTTTCCCCCTGGGCTGTGGTTTTGGGTCCTATGGCCGCTCTCTCTGAGGTATCCTGTGCTCTCTTTGCCACTTGTCTGCTCTCTGCTGACCTCGGCCATTTCCCTCCTAGATATAATATATACAATACTGTACTTCTTAATAAACTTGCATGGCATAGTCATTGGCTTTTGCAAGACCTCCTTATCCTAGGTACTGCTTTTGTCTTCTTTATTTTTCGTCTTTATTTCCCTCTCCAGTCATCCTACTCAACATTTTGCTGTTTGGGACTCTTGTTCTGACAGGTTCAGGTCAAGATAGGTATTGGGGCACAAGGTTTATGAGAAACAGACATTAGTCTCAAGGAGCATGATGGGGCATATTTATGACTGGGAACCTGTGGCTGTGAGTAATTAGACATCAGCAGTTTTCCAAGAAAGGAAGAAGGTAAGGAACAGAAACAGCAAGGTACGCGTTAGTTCTTGCATAGTATCTCAATGGCAAGCCCACTCTGTAGACGGAATAGAAGGATTTTCATTAAAGTGGTAGTTTAGAAGATGGATAGAAGATAGATGCCCCTCTCACCTCTGCGATGGTCCTGGCCTTCTGTGTGACTTGTTTCTAAAGAAAGAGTCCTCGTTCTCTGACCCTTCAGACGGAGAGGCATTGTCTTCATCAGAAAAGGAGCTGCCATTCAAAGGGGGACAGAAGTGAGCAGGATTCCTGTTTAACCAGCTCAGGGTATCACCACTCTCATCAAGGTGAGGCCCCCCCACTTCCCACCCCTTCTCAGACTAAGCCACGGCACATGTTTAATTAGGTGAAGTAGGAGTGCAGCGTTCTACGGAGCGTGTGCCTAGCGAAGGTAAGACATGCTGATTAGACCTCCCACATCATGCTGTTGGGTCACTTTGTACATCCTTCCCCCATTAAAAGAAAATCCTATCACTCTCACTCTCTCTATTCATTTATGGGTAGCTATTTTAAATTACACTATTAAATTATATTATTAGATTTTATAACCAACATACCTATATAGAAAATATTCAATATTTTCACATTTATGTACAGCAATATCATCTATTTAGATTTTATATTTCCCATGGATAAGGACTCTGTTTATGAGTAAAAAAGTATTTGTCATAATACTTTTACATATATAATACATAATAGGATGAAAATACATAAACGATAACAAAATATCCTTTGTGTAATGGGTAAATTATACTGTTCCAAAGTATAAGTAAGTTCACTAAATTAAATAGGTTACAATTTTATAGCTACAAATTATGAAACCAAATTAAAATCCAACCAAAAAAAATGGTGCTTGTGTTAAAAAAGTGCATGAGAATTTGCATAGATTCACCTGCACGCTCCGTTTTCCATCCGTCGGATTTCCTTTTCAATAGCTGGTACAACCACATTGGGAATATTTACAAAAGAGTGCCACGTATTGATAATGTTTGTCTTCATGGTTAGTTTAGTATCTGAGAAGAAATAAATCTTATTAATGAGAAGTTTTGTGTTTACATGTGTAATCACATTTCACCCTACAGGGACTATGCTGTGACAACAGAGCTCCACTGAGGAGGAGACAGTGTTCCAGCTGCAGTTCTTCAACTGAAATGCGCTGAAACCATACCTCTGAGGTTTTTAGCACATGCACCTATGGAATTGAGACTACCAGGTGGTTGCTACCCATCTGTCCAATCCAAGGGCTTCTCAACCCTTAAGAATGTTAATTACATCCTCCCTTCTCTGCCTCAGCAATGGGCACACATTTGAATAATTCTCTCATATGCGAAATCACTATGCATTCTATCTTCAAGGCTAGCTATAACCTTCATGGAGACCTCTGTCACAATGGCAGAGTGCTGGGCAGGTAATAGATATTCAAGAAACAGTTACTCATTAAACAAATCCTGTTTTGTTTTCTGTGGTGGGGGCGTGTCATTGTCGTTCCTTTGATGGTGAGAACAGAACCTATTTTCAACATGTTGGGCATGTTCCCTACCACTGAGTTCTAGTCCCAGCTCCAGATCTTGTTGTTATATTTAAAAAGCTGTACTCACATAATGTTCATCAGAGGTTGTACAAGTGCGGTGAATTTTCAATGATGTTTGGAATGTTGTTCGGTTGTTAAGTATGGTGGTGGCCCGTGACACGACACTCAGTCCTCTCACTGTATGGTGCACATTTGTGCTCCACAAAGACAGATTGAACTAAAAACACCTGCATTTCCCTGATCCCTGTGCAGTTCAGATTCTCCGTGTCACGGCAGATTAAACAGTCATATAAGCACCTACGATACTTGAAAGGCAGAACTGTCACTAAAAACTTTTTTTTCTGCCTTGCTATGACAGCCAGCAAGAACAGGCAAGGGGGCCACTGGGTTTTCTATTCTCTGGATCCTAAAAACAGGGCATTAGGTTAACACTGGGAAGCCAGGGCGGGGCGGGGGGTATGTGAGGGTGGCGGTTAATGCAAGAATGAGGCTCTCAGATCTGCCTCCAATATAAGTGGTCCCCTGGGCTCTGGCTTACAGTTTAGGTGACACATTCCTATATAATAGCTGCAACGACAACTTTCTCACTAACCTTTTAAGAGAGAGAGGAAGAAGCTTCTCTGTGGACCATGTCTGGGATGCTGTTTTGGAACCAAACTTGGAACTCAGTCCAGAACCTTTTACCCAAGCTTTGCAATGACCCCAAATAAAAGCTAAGAGGAGGAGAAAGGGGGCAGGGAAGGAGCAATGTGCTGTCTAGTTTTTGAAAATGAAAAAAATTCTTTTCTTGAATGCTGTAAAACACTTTTACAGAATGCTGTAAAACACTGTCAAAATGGGAGTAACGGAAGAGACAGAGAGGATATAAAAGAAAAGCAAGACGGATGATGCAAAGGTACAACGGAAAAATACTCACTCATATAGACATATAATATAGGATAAACCTACTACAATCTGTACACCTAAAGAAACTAATCTAGAGGGAGGTCTCTGGCTAAAATGCTCAATCCCCATTGCGAAAGGCAAAGAGGATGGACATCATAAGAAGAAGAAGACAGGAAACAAGTTAGGAGCCTCCCACAAGTTAGGGCCTCTGAAAGGCTCTGCCCTGCAGACTATCAAAGCAGATGTTGAGACTTATGGCCAAACTTTGGGCAGAATTCAGGGAACCTTATGAAAGAAGTGGGAAACAGTAAGATCTGGAGAGGACAGGAGGTCCACAAAGAGAGCAACAGAACCAAAAAATTTGAACACGGGTCTTTCCTGAGACCCATACTCCAACCAAGTACCATGCATGGAGATAAACTAGAACCCCTGCACAGATGTAGCCCATGGCAGTTCAGTGTCCAAATGGGTTCCATAGTAATGGGAACAGGGACTGCTTCTGACATGAACTGATTGGCCTGCTCTTTGATCACCATTCCCTGAGCGGGGAGCAGGCCACAGAAGATAACAATGCAGCCACTCCTGATGAGACCTAACAGACTAGGATCAGAAGGAAGAAAAAGAAACCCTCCCTTACCAGTGAACTTGGGGAGGGGCATGCATGGAGAAAGGGAAGAAAGGGAGGGATTGGGAGGGGAAGAGGAAGGGAACTAGAGGGGGATACAAAGTACATAAAGTATAATTAAAAATTAAAAAAGAATAAAAGAATTGGAAAGAAAAAAAAGAGCTAATGCCCTATTTAACCTCTGTAGGTGCCATGTATGTTCAAGGGATAAAGATATACATACAGGCCAACACTCATCATATGCATAACATGAATTAAAAATGAGAAGATTCTATAAAGTTACAATATTAAAAATAAAGTAAAAATAATTGCAAAAATAAACAAATAAGAGAAATCATGCCCCAGACCAAAAGGACCAGCTAGACTTCTATGGAACTTTCTGTCCAATAGTTCCATATATGAAACTTCTCCAAGACAGACCACAAAACAAATTGTAACAAGCTATATTAAGAGGTTTATTGGACTGCAGTGCACTAAAATTAGAAACCAGAAAACTTTAGACGCTATATAAATATATAGAAAACAAATAACTTACTTTTGCACAACCAATAGCTAAGATATTTAGTAGGAATTTTTCATTTTTCTTGAAACAAATAAAAGTCCAGACATAGCACATCGAATTCTGTGAGATACAGGAAGGGAAAGCTTATGCACACAGTGAACATTATAGAAACTGGAAGTCCTTCAGTGAACAAGTGCTCACTACAGTTAGAGTAGTGCTTCTCAAGATGTGGGTCATGACCCCCTTTGGTGGTAAGAACAACCTTTTGGCAGGGGTCATTTAAGATTGGAAAACACAGATATTTGCATTACTGTTCATAACAGTATTGAAATTACAGTTAATAAAGCAGCAACAAAAATAATTTTATGGCTGGGGTCATGACAACATAAGGAACTTTACTAAAATGTTGCAGCATTAGGAAGGTTGAGAACCAGTGCTCCACAGGAACTAGACAGGCAAGTACAAGACAAATCCAAAATTAATAACAGGAAAGAAATAATAAAGGCCAAAGCCAAAATAAATGAAATAGAGACTGAAAGTTACCAAAGACAACAAAAGAGCTTATTCTCTGAAAAAAAAGAAGGAAACTTGACAAGCAAAAAGGAGAACCTCTAATAAATAAAGTCAAAGATGAAAAGGAAACATTACAACTGATACCACAGAAATGCAAAAGATCTAACAGATTATCTCAGAAAATACATAGTTAAAAATTTGATAGTCTATAAGTGACAGAAAATCCATAGATACACACATTTTATCAAGATTGAGTCATGAAGAAATAGAAAACCTAACCATATTAATATCAAGTACTGATATATAATCAATAATAAAAAGAACCCATCAAAGGAAAGCCTAGACCAAATGAATTAGATCAGTCATTTAAGGAAGAAGTAATGTCAAGTCTCTTTAACTTATTCAAAAACGGAAGAGGCAGAAATTCTTTCAAACACTTTCTAGAAGGCTAGCATTACCTTGATACCCAAATCAGATAAGAATTCAACATAAAGAAAATGATGGACCAGTGCCATTGATGAACAGACACTCAGAATTCCTAAACAAAATAACAGCGTACAGGATGCAGAGCACAGCAGGAAGTTTGTTCACCATGACCAGCCAAGTGGGGATTTTCTCCAGGACTGCAGAGGTGGTTCGTATCCTCAAACCAATAACATGTATATCACAATAGTATGAATGACAAAAGCCATGTGATCATCTTAGATCACAGATGCACAGAAGCACTGGTGAACAGATGCATCATAGATGCACAGAAGACATTTTAATAAATTCAACATCATTGATAAAAATCTCTGAACAAATTAGGTATAAAGGGGATGTACATGCAGGTGACTCTGATCAAAATACATGTGTACACAGGTATAAAAATATCATAATGAAACATATACAATTAGTATACTACTAATAATTTTTAAAGCAAAAATAAGATAGCTCAACATAACAATCGTAGGCTCCATCAGTAGCTAGAATTGTGCAGAATGGAAAAGGGCCAAAAGCACATCTGATGAAGAGCGTGATGACTGAACATTTCCCCCAATATCAAAAGCAAAGTAACAGTATTCTAGCATTACTTTATATCATTTTAGAGGTTCTAGAACTTGTAATAATGGCAACAAGAAAGAAAAGACATTCTAGTTATAAAAGAAGAAATAAAACATCTATTTGCAAATGACACAGTACAAAGAAGACAAAACCAATGCCAAAGATAGAACAAATAAGTAAATAAATGTGTCAAGTTTTCAGGATTAAAAGGTCAATGTAAAAACTAAAGTTTGTACCTATATGCTAAAAAGTTTACAAACACACATTTCCTCTAATCAATGTCAAGTTGTTTTTTGTTTTGTTGAATTTTTTTAAATTTTTTCTTTTATTAATTTTATTTTTCTATATTAATCAATTATTTACTTTTTATCCCAGCTGTAGCCCCCTCCCTCATTCTCTTCCAATCTCACCCTCCCTCCCTCATCTCCTCCCTGCCCTTTTCCAAATCCACTGACAGAGGAGGTCCTCCTCCCCTTCCATCTGACCCTAGCTTATCAGGTATCTTAAGGACTGGCTGCCATGTCCTCCTCTGTGCCTTAGCAAGACTGTTCCTCCCTCGGGGGGGGGGGGGTAAAGGAGCCAGTCATTGAGTTCATGTCAGAAATACTTCCTGTTCCCCTTACTAGGGAAACCCACTTGGTTACTGAGCTACCATGGGCTACATCCGAACAGCGGTTCTGGGTTATATGCATATATGGTCCTTGGATGGCGAAACAGTCTCATAGAGGACCCCCGTGCCCTGATAAATTTTGTCCTTGTGGAGCTCCTGTCCTCTCCTGGTCATATTAACACCCCCTTTTATATTTTTATTAATTACAGTTTATTCACTTTATATCCCAGCTATAGCCCCATACCCCATCCTCTCCCAATCCCACCCTCCCTCCCTATTCTTCTCCTAT